ATAATTTTCTCGACAAACGTTACTGAAGTAATTTAAAATATACCTACAGATTTTAGGGTGCAGTGGGCAGCATGAAAAATACTAACTGGGCCGCAGAGTTGGACGTCACTGGATTAGGCCATAATTTTGACTTAAATAATGCCGTTTCATTTAAAACACAAATTAACTTATTATGGCGAAAATATATTGAAAGGGCTTGATTTCTGACGCTTTCACGCTAGGTTTATGACCATGACAATGGCGGTATTTAGTCCCGTGAAATAAATGAATAATAAATAAATAATTTTGAATATTACAATGGATTAAAATGTTACTAATATATTGAGCTATACAATTAGTCATCAGTTATGTGGTACGTGTGATACAAGCTTAGGCGGTCATGTATCGAAAGATACATGACTGACGAGGCAGATTTTTCCGCAAGTAGGTTGCCATCAAAGGCTATAGAACCTGGTCAGGTAGACCATTTGCCATCCAAGGCTATAGAACTCAGTGTGTCCTGCTATTTACCCATAGCTGGAGTGGAGGAGAAGAATAGGATTCATACCTTTTTCAAGTGTATTAGCACGTAAGTGAATATCAGTCAGTTAAGTGTCATGCGTGATACACGCTTAGGCGATCATGAATTTTTAGATACATGACTGACGAGGCAGATTTTTCCGCAAGTAGGTTGCCATTTCTTTCTGCGGTAGACCAGTTGCCATCCAAGGCTATAGAACCCGGCCTGTCCTGTTATTTACCCATAGCTGGGGAGAGAAGAATAGAATTCATAGCTTTCCCAAGGGTTATTAGCACGTAAATGAATATCAGTCAGTTAAGTGCCATGCGAGATACACGCTTAGGCGATCATATATCTTTCGATACATGACTGACAAGGCAGATTTTCTTCCCGCATTAGGTTGCCATTTCTTTCTGCGGTAGACCAGTTGCCATCCAAGTCTATAGAACCCGCTCTGTCATGCTATTTACCCATAGCTGGGGGAGAAGAAGAAAAGGATTCATATCTTTCCCAAGGGTATTAACACGTAAGTGAATATCAATCAGTTATGTGACATGCGTGATACACACTTAGGCAATCATGTATCTTTCAATACATGACTGACCAGGCAGATTTTTTCCCGCATTAGGTTGCCATTTCTTTCTGCGGTAAATCAGTTGTCATCCAAGGCTACAGAACCAGGACTGTCCTGCTATTTATCCATAACTGGTGGGTGGAGGAGAATAGGATTCATATCTTTCCCAAGATTATTAGCACGTAAGTGATTGCTATGGATTCGACTGGAATTCGAACTCGTTTCTCCCATTCTTTAATTTGAGCCACTATATGCCTAATAGTTTGAGTTTTATAATCCTTCGTAACATTTGCTGAATTAATATACAACTTTTGACGGTGAAAATATAAAGTAAGAACAAACACCAGTTTATATTTTATTTTTAATACTTAACACGTTTTAATTTCGTGGTTTCATCTAGCGTATACAAATATGATATCTTAAAAACTCCATTAGATTTATTTGAAACCTACCAGCAATTTATCAGTAGATTTGTATTTTTTTTTTTTTTAAATCTATCGATATGTTTTTCTTTCTTTCTATCTGTCCGTATATCTAAATTGCCCATTCTTTTAATCTCTATTCATCCACGTATGTAGGTAATAAAATTAATTCAATAAAATAAAATATCTATGAATGTAAGTAGCAATAATAATAATAATAATAATAATAAAATATTGGCTAATGTTACGATAATTATATAAAAAACATGTTTACTTTTGAAAATAATTTATTTCATCTTCAATGCAATACAAGCATTATTAAATATATGTATTTATGCAAATATTCTCAGATGGATTGTATCTGTTAAAGCAACAAAATGAATAAGAAGCCATAAGAGAAAAATATCTATCTATCTATCTATCTATCTCATTCTCTTCTTTATCTATCTATTTATCTATCTATCTATCTATCTATCTCATTCTCTTCTTTATCTATCTATCTATCTATCTATCTATCTATCTCATCTCATATCTATCTATCTATTATCTATCTATCTATCTCATTCTCTTCTTTATCTATCTATCTATCTATCTATCTATTATCTATCTATTATCTATCTATTCTATCTATCTATCTATCTATCTATCTATCTCATTCTCTTCTTTATCTATCTATCTATCTATCTATCTCATTCTCTTCTTTATCTATCTATCTATCTATCTATCTATCTATCTATCTATCTCATTCTCTTCTTTATCTATCTATCTATCTATCTATCTATCTATCTATCTCATTCTCTTCTTTATCTATCTATCTATCTATCTATCTATCTATCTTTATCTATCTATCTATTATCTATCTATCTATCTATCTATCTATCTTTATCTATCTATCTATCTATCTATCTATCTCATTCTCTTCTTTATCTATCTATCTAAACAGGTGCATCATAAAATCATTGAATTTTCACCTAGTCATCAGCCGTATTTTGTTTCTAAATTTTCAGTTAAATATACGGTTTCATTTATTAGTAAAAAAAATGAAAAATATCATCATGGGTAACTCTCGAGAATCAAAAATTTCAGTCTATATACATTTTCTCCCAACAATTCATCGTGCTGGGACATGGGCGATTTTATCGAGTCACCATTTCTACATTGGTTTCGCATCAAGGCTATAGAACCCAAACTGTCCTGCTATTTAACCCATAGCTAGTGGGAGAAGAAAAGTATGCATTCGTACCTTAAACCAATGGTATTTGGGCGTTAGTGATTGTAACGAATTTGACTAAAAGTTGAAGCAGGCTCTGCAATTACTCATCCTCATTCAATTTCACTTCATAAGAGAACACGTTCAATTAAGCGCATTCATAAGAGAGGCGTGTCTTTCGAAAAAAATACGTATTTGATGCGTAAAGTAAATTTTTTTTATTCATAATTTTCCACTAACTACTTCCTGATTTAATGGGAACAGGTTTCAACATGTATGCGTAGATACCTACAAGCATTATCCTTAATTTAGCAACAGAAGCATGTGAAGTGAATTTTGTAGCAGATTTTGCCGCCAATTAGATGGGCCAATTTGCAAGCAAGAAAAGAATATTCCAAATTTTACAGAAAGTATTCTTATTTTTTTATATTGAAAGTTTTACTTACAGAAAATTTACTATATATGCATTTCTATATACACACAAATCCATGCTTGGTACACGCAAATACTATATATATATATATATATTTAAGTTCTTCATAACTTATATATATATATATATATATATATATATATATATATATATATATATATATATATAGTTGTGAAGAACTTGGTAAACTGAATTGGTAAATCCAAGGAGGATGAAATGAGAGCTCAATGTGAAGAACAGATACCTAATATTTATTTTTATATTTCATTATATGATATCGAAATATGAAATAATATATATATTAAATATATATATATAACATATGAAACATATATGAGATAATGGTTATCCGTTGAACATTGTTCAATCGGTTATTCGAGATGAGACCGCTAGTTCAACAAAATCAAACCTGCTTCAGTTGGTAAATGTCCGGTCTATCAATGGTGAAGAACAAGCGTATTTCATGTATAGTTCAATGTTCTTTTACAGCGAACGTTCGTGTTGTTTTTCAAACTAGGTCTGTACTTCCATCTTTGTTCTACCCCCCTCATTTCTGTTCCTATTTCAAATTAGTTTGCTACATTAGAACGACACAGCGGTTGGACCTGAATTGATCGATAATACTAAACAAAAATTTTCTTTTTACCAAAATTGCGGATCATTTTAAAGAATCCAACTTTCGATGGAAATAAATTGGCCAGTTCACTCACTTTTCCATCTGGTGTTGGAACTTTACATCAGGTCCAAAAGCAGCTTGGTTGTATAATTTTCTCCTTCCCTGTCCATTCATTCATTTTTCATGACAGACTTTTTTCTTTTTTCCTCATAATCTAAATTATAGTTCTGACGAGAGGGACGAAATATATATATATGTTTATTTTATATATATATATATATATATATATATATATATATATATATATAAACAATCAATTGTTGATAACTCTTGACGAGTGGACGGGTGTTTCCGCGTATGAGACTGTAGTTGGCATGCTGTAAGTTAACATCAATAAGCCAAGAAACAATACACACACACACACACACACACACACACATATATATATATATATATATATATATATATATATATAATATAATAATATATATTTTTATATATAAAGAATAATATTAAAAGAAATCTATCAAAATATGTATGAAGTTTTCTCATTTTGTTTGTTGAAGTCACAGGAAAACTTTTACAATTAGTCATATATATATATATATATATATATATATATATATATATATATATATATATATATATATATATATATATGTTTGTGTGTTTAGCTAGTCACACGTATTCTAGGATACCCGTCTACTAGGTCGGCTAGCCAATCCCTTTTGCAGACGCTTGCTCAGGTGTATTTGTGTTTATTCAACACCCACAGAGCACAAATGTGGTTTATACTGCAACTATGCTGAGCAGACCTTAGTTACAGGTGGGTGGTTATACGGTTTGTGCGCTTTACCGTGATCAACCAATCAAATATGACCTACGTTAAAATTAAACTAATCGAAGTAAAAATTAAAAATATATTTTTATAAATGGGTCATGACCCGTAGATTGGCAGAAAACAGAAGCCTAGCGAGGATATATATGGTTACATGAATTATACAAACTAAAAAATATACATATAACTATGGTTTGATTAGTAAAACCTGTAGTAATAAATCACTACCAGTGCATGAAGCTCAGAGCTGCAAGAAACCGTGAGGAACTGGAAAGAATCGGTGGATTCATTCTTTTCCCGACGATATTTTGTCATAAATTTATATAACGAACCCAACCGGAATTTAAACTCGGATCTCCGATTAACAATACATGGTCATTATTCATTAAACCACTCGCACATCCAAGGTTACAGCACCTGGTATCCCCAAGCGTTCACTCATCTAGGTACTGAACAGGCTCGACGTTGCTTAACTTCGGGGATCGTACGAGAATCGGCGTTTAAACGTGATGGGGTCGTCTGCCAGATTTTTTTTTTTAAACATCTTGTATATTTTTTGTAAATCTTTGCGGCATTAAATTAATTTTGAACCCGTAAGTAAATCGCCCGCCCCACTAACTTAACAGTAGATTATAAATATTAAACCAGTCTGTTTTCGAATTTGTGTCCGACTATTGTACCGCGCATGAATATATTTATTATTAGCCTAACATTTATGTCTGTTATTTTGCATCTACCATTATTTTCTTACCACGATTACTCACCGTTTACACGACAGGCTGCAGTAGCAGAAACACTAAACAGCAGGCAGATTAAACACTAAGGCTGAAAGTTAACTACAGCAAATTGCCCTATGAATTAAACGCTTTGGTTTGTGAATTTAGTGACATAGAAATTTCAATCCTTGTCTCGGGCAGTATGTGCTTAAATTTAGTGGAAACGGGCGAACAATAACTAAACAGTACTAAAAACAAAAACTAGCTCACCTGGCATCTCGACTTCAGTCACATTCTCACAGATGTCAGTTGGCTTCCCTCTGTCTTTTCTACAAATATTCCCAGGGCTGCTGCTCTGACAAACTTTTTTACTTTGGTTGCCTGACGACATGAATTTAAGTGTGCTACTAGATTTACATCTTATACTGATGAAATAGTTAAATGTAAATTCTACTCCAACAGTTTCTTTTCTCGCACTTCCCTACTGTGGAACTCCTTTCTTCTTATTTGCTTCCCACTTAACAACAATCCTCAAGAATTGAAATACAGCGCCAATCGCCATCTTCTGTTGAATTGAACCTCGTTTATATTTTATCCTTTCCCCAATTCCCCTAAACGCAGTCTTTTCTGTCACTTTAACTCTCCGTAACTCCCTGCGTGCTAGTGGCACTCCCGCCTTGCCTGGGGTGAAACGTTATAAAAAAAAAAATCAAGACATGGGCATCGGAATGAGAAAATGTCTACCCTGTAGATTAAATAAAGGGTTCAGTTCAAAATTCCTCCTGATGAAGGTTGGCGGGTACAACGACCGAAACGTTGTGATAACAAGTAAAAAGATTAAGAGAATAGTCCGAAAATAAATAGTTTAAATAATTTTTATTATATTGAGCAGGCACGGTGGAGTAATGGATAGCGTCTCTGATTGAGGAATCGAAGAGCCGAGTTCGAATTACGTGCTCATACCCTCGGAAAAGATATGAATCCTCTTCTCCCACCAGCTATGGATAAATAGCCGGTCAGACCGGGTTGGATGGTAACTGGTCTACCGCAGAAAGAAATGGCCCCTACTGCGGGAAAAATAAGCCTCGTTAGCTATTTATCGAAAAATACATGATTGCCACTTCTACTTCAATTTATTTTCTCGCACTTCCCTACTGTGGAACTCCTTTCCTCTTATTTGCTTCCCTGTTAACTAGAATCTTCAAGAACTGAAATACAGCGCCAACTGCCATCTTCTGTTGAAGTGAACCTCGTTCGTCTTTTATCCTTTCTCCTAAACTCATTTTCAAGAACCATGTGGTTTCAATTGGATAAGATTCCGTTAGCTACATCGTGAAACTTTGAATCAATATCACGTGACTTAATTTAAGCGGACTGAGACCATATAAAAAATAAAGCATAGAATAGCATATATTTTTTTTATTATCTGACTCATATTAAATCTTTTATACACACTTCAAGATACCGGATCCTGTGGCGAAAGTTATTTTATTTAATATGGCTATTTAAATCGTTGGAATTTCGAAACGAAACCTTTCTTTAGTCCTTGGGAGTAGATTGTCCTGAAAAGGCATGACATGTGGAATTACAACAATATACCGCCGTGAACTAAATAATGGTTTCGGTTCGAAATTCTAGTAAATATTACCTGAAGAAAGTCGGAGCGTACACCAACCGAAACGTTGTGAATATGACTATAAAGATGAGGACAAAAGTCCGAACGATGTAAGTAGTTACAATATCTCATCTCAGAAATATAAACAGATATTTAATATGGCTATATTCAGCGACAAAGGTAAAATAACTTTTTAAAGAATGATTACTTCGATTTTTATTGTCTATTCTCACTTTTTCCTTAGTGTCGATGTCAGCTAATGTGTCTTAAAATTTTTTTGCGTAGGTAGTCTCAGACATTTTTTTTTCGTAGCTTTCGAAAGTCAGGCGACATTCAATTGATTTTCCGAACAGCTTCAGGTGGAGCCATTTTTTTTTTTTTTTTATCGAGGATGTGTCAGTACAGAAACTTTCTTTTAAAATAATGTCCATAAAACTTTCGAGGCAGTAGAAAATTTATTTTCATCGCTTTCGAGATGAAAAACTTAATGATGTTCTTTTTTTCCGAATAGGATAGATTTTCTGATGACGCCTGTGTAAATCAGGGTATTTACTAACGTTATCATTTTTTTTTTAACTAAATTTTGTTGTTAAATGTTTTTGTTCGTTCTTCTGTTCTTGATAAAAAGCAGGTTATTTTTTTTTCTGTTTTCTATTCAGGAATGTTTATTCGTGTGAATTTTTCACATCATATGCGGTTAACGATATGGTTCTGGATGGAGTTTGAAGGCTATAGTGTTTGTTCCATAGCGTAAGAAATAAGTAGTGTTTCTACGTTATTTTCCACGCGTGTCTTCTGGCCAACACATCAAAGCCGAAACATTTTCGTCGTATCAAATAGCACTATGCATATGGGTTAACTTACTTAATTTTATCATTCCCAGTGTTGCCGATTACCTGTCAGTGATGAAGATGGAAAAGTAAGTGTGTTTCTCGATCCTAAGAAATTCAGAGCTGCGTCTTCGCTACGAAACGAACATTCTCACTAAAAAAAAAAAAAATGTAAGAAGTAACTGCAGTTTTAACCGAATCTATTTAATTCACGCTAATTAATCATTTCTTAAATCACGCAAAGTAGAAATACTACACAATCCCGTAATATATTTCTTCTTGTTCATTTTTATGGGACCTGTGACTGTTAACTGACCATCTAAAATATATCCCGTTTCAAAAATACAATGCTGCTTAATAGTTAAGAGGCTTTAGGAAGCTAAGCGCAAACAAATATGAACTTCATCATAGAACTGGCACTCAGATGAATCAGACAAGATTCCTGCTGGTTCGTTAAAGCCACTGGAACAAGGAGCATGGTATCAGAAAAAGCTTTACAAATGCAGGAGGACATGCACCAGTGTTATCTATATCTATCTATCTATCTGTAATTATTTATTTTAAAAAAATTATTATATAAATATGTTATAAAATCACTACAAAAATAGCCATTTTGTTTCAACACCTCCGGTGTCTTATCAAGTTATGATGTTGAATGTAAAATAAATGGTTTTAAAAGTTTCAAATTAATTAACGATACTTCGCAAGGGGAAAACGTTGTTACAAAAGCTAGAATGACCAATCAAAATACAAGTATAGGAAAATTCAAAAAGCTTGACAACGAAGTCATGTTATAATAGCTATTCTGATCTTTAAAATGGGGTAATATTTAAAAATAATTTATTCTAACCAATAATTATTAAATTACATGAAAAAATGTGATATTAAAAATAAAAGTAAAAATTATCAATTTTAAAATCCAAATTTAACCACTATTAAGTTTAAAGTTATAAAATTGCTGATGAGGAAAGAAGAAATACATGTTATTCAATTTATTTCTTCATTGAAATTACGTTAGAATAGACGCTAATATGTCATCCGGTCCTCTGACAATATGTATTGAGCACTATTTTAAGAATAGTAATTGTTGATTATTGGAATTCATTCCGTATACACAAATTATATATATTATTAAAACGTAGAGAGCCAGACAAACCTACTAAGGTTTCACCTAATCGGATCGTCAGCGATCTATATGTCTGCTCTACTCATATATCTATAGGTCTACTTTTATATATATATATATATATATATATATATATATATATATATATAGAGAGAGAGAGAGAGAGAGGTCTGTTCTACTGATTGTATTGAGCACTTTATTTATTTTGGGTACTCGCATCGGTTTTTTTTTCTTTGGGTCTTGGACTGGCATGTTGGACGATTATTTTCGGTTAACATACATGGTTCTTTTTTTTTATACCTTTTTCCCCCTTTGGTATTGGCTTGTTTATTTGCAAATCAAGACACCGAAGGTTTTTCGAACGAGTATAGTTTCTTATACTTATAAGATTTCTAATTAATATATATATATATATATATATATATATATATATATATATATATATACAGGTATTGCATTAAGACGACGTATATATAAGGGTGTTTCATTAAGACGGATCAAAGTCAGCAGTAAATAAATCAGTGTTACTAGTGAAAACCTATTTATTTCTCTAATGGATCATGGCAATTATGTGTTAAAAATGTCTAAATGTCTACCAAATCTGAAAGAAAATGAAAAAAAAAAAAATCATTAGACGCCTAAACATAATTCACATTAAAATTGGTCCAAATTTTTGGAACATTCTTATATGCAAAATAGGTGACGAAGAACTGATGAAATTGGTTAGGAACCGTGACATATATTCAAAAGGTATTAGAATAATTTTGAATCTATTCTGGCAGTAAACCACCTGCATACGGAGCAGAAATGAGTTCAATAGATATACAAAGAGAGAATGCAGTTAAATCAAAGATGCGTCTTCTTAACGGATTTATTCAAACTATAAAATCAGGTGGTTCTAAGAGAATTAGAAGCCGTACTAGGATTTATTATTGACGCACCAACAACGAAATCGTCAATCGCTCAGAAATGTCTATCACTGAAGCTGCCATCCTCACGCATCGCCTCAGGTGGTCATGACATGCCGTCTTCAAGACACTCGGGGAAACATCCGTTACCGAGAGCACGTCAAAGGTAAACAACATCGCGGAGCCGCAAAGATCAACAACCCGGAATCAGACCTAGCACATGTAAAACAGATGCTACTGATCTCCCATCCTGACGAAGAGCAATTCATTTCGGTTGTTTCCCTTTTGAGGGGAGGTGAAAGACTGAAGAGGAAGGAAAAA